CGTCAGTGTTTGAAGCAGAAATTACCTGCTATGAAGTGAATCAAAGACAAAAAATAGGGAGAATATCCTCTCTTTTATTAATTTTATTTCAATTATTATTTTTATTTTATTAACAATTTGTTTTATTTTAATTTTACCATTTATTAATTTTAGTACTATCTTTTCTTATTAATTAATACAATTTATTACCACTTATGAGTTATGTTTTATTTGAATTTGTGTTTGACAAAAGTTTTAAGTAATTAATTAGGTATTTTCCATTCTATATTTTTATGTCTTCTCTACAGTTTTATATACAGTCTCTGGAGCATAGTAATTTTCTTTGCCTGTTTTCTGGATTATACCTACCGATTTTCTCTGTTATATGCCATATTTTCAAAGGAGTCTAGTTCCAAGGGCTTCTTTTGTTTTATGCTGTGCAGTGTTTTTAGTAGTATTACTGTTCTGCAGGTACATACTTGTACCTATTAGGATATTTATTATGTATGTATTTATTATTTATTATGTGTTTTATTATTTATTATATAACAAGAGGAGCAAAGTTTTCTCCTTGAAAGAAACATAAAAAAAAAAAAAAGAACAGTGTCTTCAATTGCAAGCCAGCAATTGTTAAGGTAAAAAATGAAATTTTGTCTGGCTATTAACTCTTTATCTAAAGTAATCAGAAAGTCAGGCAACATATTCCCCCCGATAATGAAATTAGCAAAATTGATAAAATTGAACAGAATTCAGTATAAACTTCCAGTGGATTTTTGCTGATCTTCTTGAAATGCTGAACTGGCTTTTGTAACATGGCTCATTTTCATGCATTGTCAGGTTTGGTACTTCTTGCTTCAAAACAAAACCAAAATCAGAATTCTTCAAAGGTCCTGAAAGAGAGGCAGGTTTTCATGGTATTCCTAGCTTGATTACAAGCACATTTAATGAGAATTTCATGATCTAGCTGATTTGGAAGAGATTTACTGTGGCATTTTGCCAGTTCTTCTGGACAATACGTAGGATTTGGAAGTTGAATGTTTTAAATTCTCTCTCCACTGATCAAGTTTCTAGTGATACCTATTGCCTATGTGGAAATAAGACATTAGTACTTTTGAGTGTGGCAGATTAATTCTCCCTGCATTAGGATTTGGAAAGGAAATGCTATAATAAGGAACGTGACAGAGTAGCAATAGTAGCAGAAAACAGGGAGATTTTAAAAGGCAGATGCTCTTGTGAACCAAAACACAAATTCTGTAGGCTGTTGAAATGTTCATGAGAAATTTAAAAATACTTGAAATCTGAACACTTTCTCATTTTATTTCATTGAAATTCAAATTATGTTAAACCTCCACTTTAAAATGAGTATGCAGATGCTCAGAATTCTTAATTTTTTTCACAACCAAATTACCTTCTGATGAAATTCAGTGAAAGCAAAACACTTAAAGGATAAATGGAATTATACAAAAATTTGATAGGCCGTATCCAGTTCGTTAGAATCCCAATGGAAAATAATTACAGCAGAGATTGCCTAGACATAAAAGAAAGCTGATGTATCCAGCTACACTTTGGCTCTATTTCCTGTCTCTAAAAATTCAGATCTGCAGATCTTTATATAAGCAATTACAGGTATATTTTGACATGAGTGACAAATGTGGAAATGTGCTCATAAAGTTCTCATAGGATGCTTCTTTATTTTTATAAACTGCTCCATGAGCATGAATCACAAATGTGAAGATGCATGTTCTCTGTAAGAAAAATCTAAAAGAAGAGTAATTTGTTATCTTGGTAATTACAACAGAAACTAGGTTCCAGGGTGATCTTAAAGAGTCACAGAGCTGCAAGGTGACAAAACAAATGAGGTCTCACAGGCATCTCCTCTTCAGGGACCTTGTGACTACGCAACAGTGTCCTTATTTGTGTTTGCAGCCCCCTCTGTTTTAGTGTCATCCATGCATTGTTCCTTGCAGTTTCACCCAAGGAATACCCTGCAACTCTCCAGGCTTCAGAAATGTGTTTTCCTTTCTGGGGCCTGTCAGAAAAGCCACTGGGGTTTTTCTGCAATAACTGGACTTGCCTGCAGCCAGCAGAAGGCCTCATTCTTTCTAGAGTGATGGATGTTTCACAGAGGGGAGAAATGAAAGCCTATCCCTGGAGCACCTGAAACTCCTCTGCCACCCAGTTTAATGTTCTATGGAGTCTCTAGGAATTTTGCCTGGAGCCAGTGTTTTGGATCTGAAGCTGCTTACTCGTTTAGTCACAAAGAGCAAATTTGGTTTTATGTGCAGCTTATACAATGGTAAAGCTGGCAGTCTATCACCATAAATGTTTCTGTTTATTTAAGGAAGAGATGTGATGCACTTCATAAAAAACATGCCAGTGACTGCAGGCAGTTTAAAATAGTCTCACGAGTTACGAGAGGCTTCTCAGGCACAGAACACAGTTTAAGCACATCAATCATCTATAAGTATTACTGTAAAACATTGTACAATGGGGCTTAAAACACTTCAGGCACTTTCTGAAGTTATAGCTGTACTGTGTACTTAAAATGACATTGAGGTGAAATCTCTTTTGTCTCTGTAGAACACTGCAGATAGTGGAAACAAATCCTATTTTGCAAAATGTGAGAGAGCAGTGGGATGGATGGATTGATATGATGAAGAAATGTACCTCTGCTAGACACAGTATATATACTTCTAAAGATCACAAAATATACTTCTCTATACATTTGACCTCTATGTAATCATTCTCTGGCATTTGGACTGTATGAAGTAATTTTAATCATAAAGTAACACATTAGTAAATATCACTATGATATTATGGATTTATTTTAATTATTTTAGCAATTATCTTTTTTTTATGTTAAAAGTTCTCTTTTTCTGTAGAGATAAATGCAAGTTATGTATCATTTTTCATATGTTTTTACTTCAGGGTGCAAAAAAAATGTTACAGGATCATGTATTTGTACTACAATACCTGTTCCCTGAGAAACATTAGAGGCTGTGGGACCTAAAGGAAGTGAGTAGAACTGAAGCATACTGATGGTAAAGACTTGAAGCTCTTGCTTTTGGGAGGCTGATGAAAATTCTGCTTCAGTAAATACTGTAAGATTTACTCATGATATAATAACTTGAACAAGCTTTGTAGTGTCTGATTGCCTTTTTCTGAATAACAACATTTTTGTGATTCTGCAGCTTTCTGCAAGAGGTGAAATATCTTGAGATTTTAAAACATCTTTCTAACACAAAGCGGTTGCAGTGCTCTTGTATTCCAAGAGGCACTTTACAAGGTAAATAAGGAAGATTCTTTTTGACAGATGTATGTGAATATAAATACATACTAGAAAACTGACGTAACCATAATAATCTCTTCAAATCTTCAGCTACGCTAAACCAAAACCAAACTGTGTTCAACTATTTTTCCAATTATCTTATCCTCTGTATGGTTGTTACTCTGTAGTTTGTAGTTAGTCATACATTGTAGTCTTATTGAGTGTATGTATGTTTTTCTTTGAATACAGAAGGGTGACTCCTAATGCATTAATTTGTAAATGCAGGGACAGAACTAATTCTTCCCATCAGGAACTTTATGAAATCAAGCATAAGTGCTTTACAAGACTAGTAACAGATGATGAAACTTCTCTTAGTAGGCCAAACAGAATGGTTTTCAGGGACTGGAATAAAGTCTGTTGGTGATTTTAGTCCAGTTCCCAGAGATGTATGCTGACAAAACTATGGTCATTACTGTAGTGAGTACTGACTGGGAGTGCTGCATCCTCTACTGTAAAAATAAAGAAAGCAATTTCCTGATTGGATGACTTCTTGTCAATGAAAACAGCATCTCAGGAACCCTGCAGATACATGTTGGATTTTTCTGTAAAGGTTGTAAGTTCCTTTTTAATCAAAGATATTCTGTTGGATTGATTTTAGGTAAGATAGTTCTGGTCTGCATATACACAGCCAATAAAATACACTTTTTTGGGGTCTAAACAGGCTGTTAGATAATAGGAGCAAACTGGTATTATCCTATTTTAAAACAGGGTAATCTCCACGCTCAGAACTTTACCAGTTTGGTTCCATTGCCTGTGAACTAAAATCTGTTTCACATAGAAGCTATGTCAGAAAGACAGAGGAGGAGCTGCAGTGTAGAGAAAAGTGTCCTGCTTTTGCACAATCATCTGTCTTATGTACACCCAGAAATATTCAGCTTTCCAGGCTATCTTGGCACATTTGTTTACTCTGAAAGTCAGATTCTCTACTAATACATAAATAGGATGCAGACTCCACTGATTTAATATTAACATGGTTGATTTCACTGACTGAGAACTTGGCACTTGATGTTTTTAAAGCTAGAAGTTTGAGTACATTTGATCCCCCCCCCCCTTTTTTTTTTAACACCTAAGGGAAAATATTAATGCATAACCAGTAAACTCTGTTTCAGTGCAACTGATTTTTCAAGGTTTCTTGACTAAATAAACTGAACAAAGAAGGAAGGAATCTACTCAAAAATATTTTTGATAACTTTAGAAGAAGTAAGTTTTTCCTGCTGTGTTTTTATTGTAAATTTAATTGTAATTGCAAAGGTATGCCAGAAGCTGTGGAAGACCATGCTGCAAAGAGAAGTAGAATTCAAGGACCTATTAGAATGAGTCCAGAGGAGGGCTACAAGGATGATTAAAGAGCTGCAGCACCTTGTCTGTGAGGGCAAGCTGAGGGAGTTGGGTTTGTTCATCCTTGAGAAGAGAAAGGGAGACCTCACTGCAGCCATCCAGTACCTAAAGGGGGCCTACAGGAAAGCAGAGAGGGATCTTGGTCAGGGACTGTGATGATAGGACAATGAGTAATGTTTTTAAACTAAAAGAGGGTAGGTATATATTAGACATTCAGAATAAATTCTTCACTCACAGGGTGGTGAAGCACTGGAACAGGTTTCCCAGAGAAGCTGTGGATGCAACCTGGGAGGTGTCCCTGTCTGTGTCAGGGGGTTTGGAATTAGATGATCTTTAAGGTCCCTTCCAACCCAAACCATTCTGTGATTCTATACGTGAACTGGAGAGTTTTGATAAACAACGGATGCCTGCCTCTGACTTGGCAGAGTGATGATCTCTGGGATTGTATTGAGCAGACAGGGTGACCTTGTTTAAAATGTGGATGAGATAATCTGAATATTCATGAATAATGTGGAGTTGGCTGTTGTGTTGACAAGAAAAACAAACAAAAACATAGCTTTGTCTGTGTGTGTGTGCGAAGAAAGATTACAGAAATAATTCCTTCGGTCCAATAAAAAAAACTAGGGAGTGTGATTTAAGAAACAGTAGAAAAGACCCACTAGACATTCAACATGATAGTAGGTACAGTAAACGTTTTATACTGGGAGTAGCAATTGTCCATAAATAGATGTAAATACTTAAAAATAAATAAATAAAATAAAAATAAAACAAAACAAAAACAAAACAAAACTAAAACTCTTTTCAAGTATTTGCACTTGCTGATGTAAATCTAACTCTAAAGGAAAAGAGTTTTCAGTAATTAGTTCCAGATGTAATTTTTACAAGTACAATGAAAAGGTAATTATGTTGTAAATAATGGGAATGCTTTTCTTCATCAAAGTGAGAGTTCCTTTATTCCTCAACTGATCAGTTAGCTGGGATAAGAAATCCACACTGGGAAGAGCAATTCTAAACCCCTGTTACTGATTCTCTAAATTACTCTTTCCAGGACAATCAGTATTTGCTCCAGGCAGATCCTCTTTCTGATGAATGGAAACTGTACACTGAATACATAGACCACATGATTGTAGATGGGCTGTTCAAAGTTATCAAGTGTTCTCTTCAGTATCTGGCTGAAAGCAGTGAGACAACATTTAAATCCACTTCTTTATTTGAAGTGCAGCTTGTTCTTAATGGCAGTGAAATGACTTTTAAACCTTTGGACTCGATGTCAGTAGCAATTTCTGTGATATTACAGAGGGACTAATCAAAGACATCCATGATATTCCATCTGTAAACAGATCTGTCAAGTAGTTTGGACCTTTTTCAGGTATTGTTACTTTTGCTACTTTTTTTTTGTTGTTTGTTTTTAAGTTGACCTTCCCTCTAAGCATTTGAATGTAATTGTTTTCCCACCCGAGTCACCCCTATCCAGTGTTTTATGCCACGAAGGCTAACATCTCAAGAGAAGCGATGAGGCTTTTCCCATCTATTCACTGTGAGCTGTCATTTTCTGCTGTCCTTAACTTCTGTCTCTCTTCTTGTGTTATGAATGTGTCTAGTAATTTCTTTCAGCAACCAGCACATATTCTTTAAATGATACTGGCTATATTGGCTAACTTTTTTTTTTTTTTAAACTTTTTGATTCACTTGCCCAATTGAGTTCACCTTGGCAGTACACACAGAAGTCTGCGGCTGGATGATCTGCAAGGCTTGTTCATGGATTTACCGTCCATTTTTGCTTGTGTGTTTTCCACAGGCACTGTGTGGCTTTACACTGTATGTGTTACTGAGGATTTGGCATCAACTGTCTTCTTCTACAGCTATATTCCAGACTGTATCTTTCTCAAGAACTGTTTGTTTCCTTATGATTGTTAGTTGAATGTTTGGTCTCTTGGTGTCTTGTCATCAGGATACCTGGTGCTGTTTCTGCTTCCACATCTGCAAGTACCACTGAGCTTATATTAGGAGACTATTAGAGGGCTGTGTCCATAGACAGGAGACAGAAGTGGTTTGTGAATGAAATAAACACTTTTTTTTTTAGAGATGTAATGTTAATGCAAGTTTTTTTTGCAAGACTGTTTTTGCCAGACTAGTTGGACGTGAAAAAAACTTTATCCATTTTTTCAAACTCTTTTTATGAGATAGAAACAAACTTAAATAAATAAATGTATCAAAATATCACAGTTAAACAGACTCTAGGGAAAACCAGATTAATTATAAATTGGTTATAATGCATAACAGTGAAAAGAAACAAAGGGTAAAATAACAGTTGAGAATGGGTTGAGAGGACAGAGTGGAGTATAAAAAGGAGTAGTTGGAGAAAGGAGTCCAGGAAATAGTAAAGGAAAAGACGGAAGAGGGCTGGAGCAAACAAAATGGTCCAGAACCTCTGTTCCTGAAATTCTTCTGGCTTTTGCCAGCTTGATTTTTCTCTGAAATTCATGGCTACTTATTCTACAGTACTCGGCAGCACGGATATGAAGGTTTGGGGATATCAGAAAGCAGCATTACCTGTTGAGTGGACAGGAGGATTTACCCTGTTCTTTATGAGCCTGTCACTCGCTCCTGGACTGGCTTTTTTTTTGTACCTAGGACCAAAGAGCAAATGGAGGAAATGAATGTCCTAAACTGTGTTCTCAGACATAGAGAGCCAAGTTTGCATAATCTGTACTCTATAACTTCTGAATTTCCTTTTTCTTCTTCCTCCACCAAGTGCTGCAGTCTGTGGAAATGGAGATTATGGTATTTGGAATGGCTTGTATTTGTAAAGCGTGCTTTCTCTGTACCTTTAGAAACAGGAACAGCCCACAGTTTTACTCTGGTCTTTACTGAGTCCATTACCTTTGCCTGCAAAGCAATTTCTTCAACCCCAGATTTAGAAAAGGTGGGGTTTCTGAGTCCCATTGAATTCTCTACTAGCCATAACAGCCCAGTCAGTAGAAGTACTTTCATCATCTCTCTGTGGCATTAAAAATCTGTTAATGAGATAAAGGAAACTTGGTGAAGATGCCTCGAATCAAGATTCCAATTTTTTGAGGTCTACTAGAAAGTTACACTGACAGCCCTCAGAATCTGAATCACAACCCGTCTCACTAGCAAGCGTTGTAATTTAAATCAACATGTTGGAGAATGTGAGTAATAGCAAGTGCACTGTTTTGTGTCTAGCTGATGACAGTAAGTACTTTGAATTTTTGATGTTAGTATGATGTGTGAAATAGAAATTATAATACTTGAGAAATATGAATCCAAGCAGTCATTTCCCATTAACATGTTCCAAGGAGCAGACAGGGAACTTTCTACTAACTGACAAGTTATACTTGTGATTGCCATCAGTATAGTACCTTGGGTCGTGGCACGTGGCTTGGCTTTTAGGACATCTTTCTTTGATTTAATTTTTGTCTCCACTGCCTTTTCAATTTGAGGTGTTAATTTAGCATGATATAGATTAGATGGATGCCCTGGAAGAAATAAGTAGCTATGAAGAAAGGGAACTTGATCACTGTTTATGTTCTGGAGTGTCAAAGTGACTTGAACAAATAGTGCTACTTATGGATAGATTATAAAACTGGATGCATGAAGCAGTTTCTGCTCTATGGATGAGCAGAGCAGAATTCTTAGTAGAGGGGAGCAGGATTTCTATGAAAATAATGCGCTTCCAAAATGTTTTCACAAGATGTGAAGTATTCTAAAGAACAGATAGTTCACTTTTTGCAGAGGTTTCTTCTTTCTCTTACCTGTTAAGGAAATATGTTTTGGTGATTTGTTTAAGACCTACTGTTTGTTGGTGTTTGTTTGTTTGTTTGTTTGTTTTTCTTCTTTCTTTAGAGCCAATATTAGCCAAATATTCTGAAGAAGTTAGTGAATCTAAAAATCAGAAGATTTTTTTTAGTAGTTCTTTCAAACCAAATTGACCACAAGCCTTTTAAATACCATTGGTGAATTTAATATAAAAATAACAGAGCTGAATTTTTTTAAGGAAAACAGCTCAGGTAATTCCCTTAGGCAAGTTTCTCTGGTTTCTGATTCATTTGCGTACGTACATAAACACATACATATATATATCTGTATATGTGTTTATGTATATACATATTTTTTATTTTAATTCAGAAGGGGGGATTGAAGGATCTCTTGAAGTCAATTCAAGCCCTTTTAGCTATCAGACAAGGGAGAGTCTTTGCAGACATGGGTCTTTCCTGGTACCTTGGATGCATCCTTGGGATAAAAGGCTTCTTTGGTCTTCAAATTCATCTGGATAAGCATCAAGCTCAAAAAAAAACCAAAAACTTGATGTTCTTAAGATGTTCAAAATATCTTAGAAATAGTGATTTATTCTTTGATTGATGTGGACTCACTATTTGTCATGGGTTTGGCTTACAGTACTATATGAAGAACTTTCAATGTTTCTATCTCATTTTTGGTATAAATTTATTTGTAAAATGCACTTCAAAATGGCAGTGTTTTGACCATGCTGGAAAGCTAGATCAGGAGTGTTTAGAGCATGAGAGTGTCTAGACAGCAATTTGGCTGTGTAAGGTATGCTGAAGATCTCTCTGGGAGAAAAGCTCTTTGAAATGGATGTTAATCTTGGACTCTTCTAAAAGGTTGACATGGATTGCAGTGCTGTACCCATCACCTCAGATCTGAACTATTTCCTGCAGCCAGACAGCACTCCTCTGCCCCAATTCTGCAACACTGAGAACCTGAACAGGATTATTACTTGAATCATGTGCAGTAGAAACAGCAAGTGAAGAGATGGGCAAGTGTAAATGAGTTCATGATATTTCTCAAGTGCATCTCATCAAGCATGTGAAATGTATTTCTCATCTTGTTTAAATAGAGGGGAAAAGGAGCCCACCAACTAAGCACCAACACAATGCTTCTATGTTTGATTTGATTGCATTTATTTGTTCATTAATATAATTGATGTGTATGGTTTGCCTTAAGTTTTCAGGTGCTCTGTGCTAATTAACTTGACATTTGCTCATGTTACGTATTATTAGTGTTACGAAATGGAGAGACTCATGAATGAAACTAAGAGAGGTTTGAATAAGAAAGCGTAAAAAGGAAGGTGAACAGCTTTAGGTGAAATGATGGGACATCTAATGGCCACAGAAGACCAGGACTCCAAAGATGATGTGTTCAAAGTCTTGAAACTGACCTTTTCAGATCTTTTCAGGATGGTAGGTACCAGAACTTGGAGGCAAGGATTTTCTGCAGATCTGGAGGTAAGGATCTGACATAACACATATAAAGCTTTGAAAAATACTTGAATAAGAGCTGTAACAAAAATAAAAAAAAATATTTTTTTTTATGAGCTTTTATTTATTTTTTTTTTAATCTCTTTTTCCCCTGTGGAGATGTTTACTTTGGACACTTCTTTTACTATATATATATAGATAGATAGATATATACAAACATATATATATAAATACAGAATTATTCTGTTGATTTATTTGGGTCTACAGTAAGGACATCATAAATTTTTCTCGATGTTCTCAAGTTTCATTCAAGAGATTTAATGAGAAGCGTTTATCAATGCTGTGCCATCATTGTCCTCCTAGGAATCAATTAAAATGTTTAGGAGAAAAAAAATGATTTGTCAGTGGGAAGTAGTGTTTTCGCACAAGTAGTCGTAAGCTAAAGACAGTTTAAGACATTTTTTTAACTTTATATCTCCTTTATTAATAGCAGATTTAAAGGCCAGATAGGCTTATTAGCTTGTGTGTTCTGCCTTCCACTGAATAGGATTTCCAGGTTGCATAGATGTGTACTAGAAGGTACATTGGGGATTTTTTACTTTTGTTTTTATGGTTGTGCTTGCATTGCAATTAAACCCGAAATCCACAGCACTAACATAACCCCAGCTCCTCTCCAGTCTTTGGGAATAAGAGCAGAGTTGGGTGACACTGAGGGGTGACATGTCTCAAATAGGCAAAGATTCTTGGTCAGGGCATTCAAGGTGGGATGTGAGAGATCATGAACATAATCCACAGTGTCTGTTTTAGAGCAGAACTTTGGCCTTGGGGCTTTCTCACCTTCCAAATGAATGCATGAAACCCAGGGCAGTGCACTGCTGTGGTTTCATATATGCACATTTTTTAAGCAAAACTGTTGTAAGGTCAATTCCCTCTACTTCCCCACCAGAACAATAATAATTTTTGTAAAATGAATATTTCTGGTTACCTGAAATTTTGTTTTCTATCTGATTTTAGCTAAGAAGCTTACAGGGTGCTTTTGGTTTTAGTTTTCATACATAAGGCCTCAAAGTCTTAAAAGTGTTCTCAATTCTGTCTCTGTTGAAATGAATAGCTTTTAGTTGTTTTTCGTTGTTGTTTTGTTGTTGTTGCTGCCTTTTTTTTTTTTTTTTTTGTTTGTTTGCATAACCAGAGACAGGATAAATCTTTATCCTCTAAAAATCAACTGAGAAATTTAAATGTTGTAGGATCGGGGTATTCCTTGTTTGCACAGGCAGATCAGGTAATTATCAGCTTAATGACTTAGCTTGTGTGCGAACCATCAAGAGTGCACTAATAAGCCCTTAATGGTTATGTCCATCCCCATGTGGGGTCTCCACCCCACACCCAGGGGCTCCTCTTAAGCTCAACCCTGGGACTTCAGTCTTGATGTGAGCTATACAGTACTGCTTTCAAGCCTGTTTCTGGTGCTGCCTTCTGGATAGACTATCCAGAATGGTCCTTGGACCTATGGTTGAAGTAGGTTGTCTCCTTGATAGACCTTCACGTAGTGGGACTATTCCCTTGGCTGGTAAGGGCTTTGCTCATGCTGGGTCCCTCCTGTTCCTGGCTCACCTCTCCTTGGGAAGCAGATAGCCCTTGCTGTTCACTGTTGTGTATGTGCCTGTTTGCACGTGTGTAGGAATGGTTTCAGATGGTACATGCAAATTGAAGGTGATCTTCTTGAAATTTGAGCCATACTCCCTAATACACCTTTAATTAGGGAAGTGTTGACAGACCAAAAGTTAAAGCAGTACAAATGGCACCATTACAAAATTCGATGGTTTTAATATGTAAAACACTAGTTCTCTATGAATCGGATCTTTGCTTTCAACCTGATTTTATCCAAATGACTAACGGTGTTTGTGTAGGTGTTTTGTTTTGTTTTCCCCTGGCATGATTTTCAGGAAGTAAAAGACTTACATTGCATATGAAAATGGGGAACTTTTTCCAAATAATTTCCTTACTTTTAAATTGTATTTTTTTTTTCCTCTTAAGGCAGTTAAAAAGTAAAGTTTACCATGGAAATATCCTTTTCAAAGTACAGTTCATAGATAGATATTTCGTTGTGTTCTTACTTATGAATGCATTATCAAAGGATTGCTTGTGTTTATTAAGCCTCTAGTCAGCTGTGTCAAAACTTGCTTCAAATAATGATAGGAAACCTTTTTGAGCAATATGACTTGCAAGGAGGTAATGAAGTTCAACTGTATCACAGAATTGTGGGATTATGTAGACTAAGATTCAAAGTAAACTCAAATGTTTGCAAAAGTCCTATAAAAGTTTTCCAAAATGACAACAAAAACACCTTTATCTGTGTGTGATGGCCTTTAAACTACAGTGTCTAATTAGGCAAGCTGTCATCAAGTCCTTGTCTGTATTCAATGGCACTCACTGCTGACTATTTTGTCAGCTACATGTATTTCTTGTAGAGACTTTGGGACGTCTAAAAGCTGGGTAAGGAATATGACTTTTGGGAGGATCAGGCTGAGACCAAGTATGCGACTGCTGAAAGCTAGGCAGGTTTCTGAAAGTATTTAACACTGAGATCAGGACCTACCAATACATTCAGTTATCACTGTGTGCATTTTTGAACTCTTTCTGAGGGGAGGTTTAAATTAATAACATGCTTCTCAAAACTATTTTATAGTGAGTTGTGTTGCTGTGGTGTTCTTTTTATTGCTGAGGTTTATTTCCAAATTTAATGTAGATAAATATGTTCTAACTAGAAAATATCAGAAATTTTAAACTTTAATCTTTTGTCTAAATTGCATTTTGCAAATTACCCTGGACAACGAGTCCACATTTGTCACCACAAAAAGACATGGCAAAAGAATGTCACAAAATCAACTACTGATTTAAAAAAAAAAAAAAAAGAGTGGGGAATGTAAGCATGTGTATGTGTGTTTCTGTGTGGGGAGAGCCGTTGGCTCTGCAAAATGACAAACAATATCTACTTGTAATGTTGTTAGGAATTACCTGAAAAGTGGAAGAATCTTAAAAAGATTGACTTCACTGTAACCATGAAGTGCTACCTCTGCAGTCCAATGAAGTGTCTGTTATCAGAAGAAAACGTGTACTTTTGGAGGTGAGATCAGTTCTGTGCTCTGAACCAAATGATTTTTCGTTTTTTGTTCTGATAACAAGCTGGTGGCAAGCTTCACTGAACTGAGAAATTGTAAACTCTTAGAAAAGGCTGTCTAAAGATAACAATTCAATGTTTCTCAGTAATGTATTCTGGATGAATCTGATAATTTAAAGCCCATTCCACCAAAATGGGAGTGATGCTTGTGTCCTCTTTATCTTCAATTATGTCTAATCTGTTTCTAATTCAAACATGGTGCTGCTGTTGTCAGATCAAATATAGATTTCAAATGTGTTATGCTTCTCCACTGGGAATGTTTTAAATGTATGCTGTACAGACTGAACCTAATAAACTTCTAGGTAAATTTAAAGGAAATAAAAGAGTACTTAAAAAAATAATAATAATAAATTAATGGTTCATGAGATGGAACATTTAATAAATGGCAGCTACAGAAAAACTATGGAATAATCTCTGTGGATTACCTGCTTAATCTCTAATGAATCTTAATGCAATAATTATGCTGTATCTTTCAGATTAAGCAGGATAGCTTTTTTAAAAACAAAGTCATTCTTAGGTTTCATCTTCAAATTCCTTTCCAGGATATGGATAAATTAAGAATTTCCATTGTTTATGAACAATAATTATGTGTTGATCAATGTCAATAGTTTGGAGCACTAATCCCAGTATATAGTCAAAATACAAACTGAATAAACATTTACTGATGTATATTCCTGAGTGTTCTGCAATGTGAGAATAAAAAGCGTAACAAAAAGTCTTTCATTGCTTGAAATATAAAGAGAGAGTAGCTCATCTGAGAATGTTGGATTTTGGATGTCTGTTCTCCTGACCTCTGCCTTGAGGAAGATTCAGAAGTCTCCTCTGAAAGTCAGCGACATATGAATTAGTGAAAAATGCATTTGTTTCTCTGCCATGATCAAGAGCCTAAATGAAGAATCCTTCTGTATTCTTTCAAAATGCTAGTGATGAAATATTGAAATTATTCTAAAGTATATTCTAACCGCAGGCTGATCATGGACTTGAGACCAATGTTAGAAGTCTGTTTTTATCTGTTTTCCTCTTGTCCTTCAAGTTGTCACTGGAAGTTTTGGAGATACTGGGCTAAGTGACTGCTAAAAACATCAAAAGAGGGGAAGATGGGACACTGAGTGTGGTGTGTATTTTTTAATTTGTTTTGATTTTTTATGGTTTGTGGTGTTTTTATTTTATTTTTGTTTGCTCTTGTTTTTGTGTCTGTGGTTCAGATCTTGTTTCAGGCTTCTAGAAGCCTCTACCTTCATTGTGTTAAACACACATACAGGTGCTACTTATACAAAAGATGGTGAATCTGGAATATGGAACGAATCTACTTCAGGTACACTCAGTGGAAGGGATGTTCACAGGCACTGTTTCTGCATTTGAAGGAGAAACCTTTTGCCATAAATGTACCCTATGGAGCTGACTAGTGATGACTCGCTCCACCATAAGATGGGAATGTAAGACTGAACAAGCATGTGACTAGCAGGCTATGGGTACTGCTCTCTCCTTGTTGCTATTTGGCATTACCATTTAGACCTTCTGTAAGTACTAAAAGGAACTACCAGACAAAGGATGATGAAGACCATCTATCCCTGCATCCTTTCATATATTTCTTCAGTGGGAGGGCTAGATATGCAGTTCTTGTAACATGAAGGTGCTTCATCAAGCCTGCAGCCAAGCCTTTAGCCTCTTTCTCTCTCTTGGATTCTCCTAACAACTAGAAGGGAATTTTCTGTGATTGCCTAATATGCTATATCTATGTCAGATATGCACAGTAAATTTCACATTTTTGTATAGACACAGAAACATATTTGCAGGTCATCATCGCTTTCTGTGGAAGGGAAATAGCTATGGTAAAGGCTCTGAAGGAGTCTCCAGCAAAAGTCATGTACTACTTTTTGTGATCGAAATATTTTGTGCTTGCAGGAAGGAAAACCAGCTTGCTCCTTTGACCAAATACTTCAGTATAGGTTGTTTGTCTTTTGTTCTAGGAGTATACAGTGATCCTTCACGGTCATACAATGATCCTTCATGATCCTCAAACATGATGAGGTACCTCCCCTACCAGCTTTCCCACTAGGACAAAGATTACTGACAAAAAAGATGGAAAAGGTGGAGTGAAGACAATAAATTTCTGGACAAAGCATAAACGTTCTCACAGTGTGTATCAAGGTGGAAAGATGGAAAACAAAACTTCTCTGTGCAAATTAATGGAGATGTTGCGAAGTTACAGGTTGAACTGCAAATGGCTTCCAGCTACATCTTTCTAAAGTGTGCATAACTGATTCTATAGATAACTGAAGTACGTCATTTTTCTAAAGACTGTGTCATACAGTGTCCATTGAAAAGTAAGGCCTCCTCTCTTTATTTACCTTCATGTAAGGAAAGAGAGAACATCCCCAAAGAGAAAAGGATAGAGAGTTTCAGATGTTTATTATTGTTTAATTTAGCTAAATTTAGAGACCCCTTAGATAGTTGATATAAGAGGGGGAAAAGAGCCTTGGAAATTTTATTCCATTTAATTTCTTTTTACTTTCTTGTGGTTACTGCATGCTTTTAAAAAGCCCTCTATTTTCTCATTTGAATATTAGTGTATTTTAAAGTACAATTCTAAATTATTTATGCACATGTAAGCAAAAATGATTGAAAAGCAGACAAAATAAAGAAAAACAGATGCTGGGCAAACAGTATTCTGTTTGATGATCTTTCTCTACTGATATTATCATTTTCAAATCTTATTTTTCCTCCTCAACCTTTTTGAAAAACTGGAATTTTGAACCTCAATGGTAAACATTCTATGAAGAAATTGGAAGAGAAGCTTTACTTTCCTTCTCTTACTGCCTTCTCTCTGTGTGTGTATTAATATATATTGCATAAATATTTATGTTTGTAATAGTTATATGAAAGAATGTGGAATTTAGTAAGGTTATCTGATTTCAAGATGAAGCCCTCAAGTTTTCATTGTGAGTTTCACCTTGCTTAGGTTTGCAAGAGCTATAATACAAACAGAGATATAGATGGAAACTATACAAAAAGATCTCATCTTGCAGCATCACTCTTGTGATTCCCAAAAATGAATCCCAAATGCTGCTTACCTGAAAAAATATTACCACTTCTTGTCCTTGAGAAAAAAACATCAAATGAGCAAATCAAATTCTCCTGAATGTATTAACACCCTCCTATAGAAAACAAGAATCCTGAATAAGAAAAATGTCTTCATGGTACAAGTAGCTGGTAATCCAGGAGTCTGACTCTTTGGCTGCCAGATGTGTGCAAACAGTTCCCTCAGAATTCAGAGGGAGCTGGTCACAGCCTGTCACTACAGAACAGAATTCAGATCACCACGTAATATGGTGATCGGTCTGGGCAGAAAAGAACAAGATGTTAGTGTTTTTACTTCTACATGAACATACCAAAGTAAATTGAGATAAGAAAGCTTTTTTCTTTTTTCTTTTTTTTCTGATGAATATAAGCTTAAACATCCTTACATAGATTTTGACTAAATCTCTTAACATCCATGTGATAGACTCTACCTTCTGTAAACTGACTTTTATCCCTTTTCACACACAAAGAGTTCATGCATTTGTATGCCTAATGAGCACCTATTCATGACCAAAAGTAACTGGGAACAACAGCTGCTTGTTCAAGGGTGTGCATAGATTTTTACTGCTCACTATTTGTGCTTTCTTATATCAGACCCAGGAAATAAAATTATATATGTACACTTTGAGGACAAAAGTGTTGCTTAATATTTTATTTATAACAAAACCAGCAAAAAAATATTTATTTGTATTATGGCTACAGTTCTCAGGTTTTGGTGCTGCCTTACATCTGTGCTCTAGGGCCAAATATGCAAATAGTTGGAAAAAGCTTGTTTGGCTGGTTTGCTTAGCAATGGGCACATTCACTGTACAGTTAAACAGCAAACTGCATAGAAGTCAGATTGCTTTTCTTCTTTAGTGGTCAGGAGGACAGAAGGACAGAATCAAAACCACTCTACCTAAATGTGTAACACTGATCATAACAACTATCTACATGAATGAGGAGAGAATAAAATGTTCAAAAGAGGAATAACTATCAGATTAGGCTAATAGCTTTTCTCTCAAATATCTTGTCAAATTCAAGTAGCTCCCCAAACTTCATTTATATAGGGTTATATAGAGCAATTAACCTCTAAATAAAGAGATGAACAAATAGACAAAAAAAATATTTGGAACCCCAAGACATAGATTTTCTTAAACCATGTCACTTATTGTTCATAAATCTGTAAGCCTGTCTCCCTCTTCTCCCTTATGGTATTTGAAATACTCCTATTTGGCTGGACAGCAAGCTGTCCAGGACAGACCTCTACTTAGACTTCCTTTCAAATTAATTTGCAGTCTTCATGATTTTAAAAGTGTCTGTGTGAAAAAGTGTATGTGTATGTCTAAATATGTATTTGCGTATACATTTCTTTATAGTGGTATGGCTAACTACTCCAGCAGTTTCTTGTGAAGCGTTGACAGTAAGCAGACCTTCTTCATTCATTTGCAGAGGAAAGATTCCATCATCAGTAAATTCCATGGACCTGGTGTTCACAGGCCCCTATCAACTTTATGCATTACTGACCTCCACAGGCACTTTAGGGGAAGGCACAGCAGGAAAAGTGACGAAGGTCAGTACACTTACTACTTTTGCAGACAAGTAATATGTGTTTAGATGTTTTCTTAACACAGCATTCTCAGATGTAAGGCTTGGTTGCTCTTCCTGAGAAAATTATCTGCTTATATGAATTTTTGTGCTTATTTCACTCTAATGGTCAGTGAGAAGGAGAACTGTCAAGTTTCATTTGGCCTATGTTACACTATACTTCAAAACCCAATTAGACCTATGTTCATGTCAAAGGTTTCTGGGTACTGCTACATACAAATCAAGAAATTACTATGAATTATGCATGATCGTTTGTTTGTACGAAGTATGGTTTGCCTGTGTGTATGAAACCGGGATTTAGAGAGTAGATAAAGTTAAGTACTGAGAATTAAATACCTTCCTGACCCCTCCCAACAGCCAGAAATACTGTTTACTTCATGTGTTGAACGTGATTTGTTAATAATTAAGCAAATTATTAACAGTAATGCAAATTAAGCAAAGCTTATCAACACATTTCTGTTCATCTATTGAATAGGAAAAGGCACTGCCTTCCCTTGTCCAAAGCACATCAACACCTCTAAAAGTAAGTTAAGGGGGGTCAAATTTTCTTCAGTATCCAGATAAAGACTCTAGGAAGGTTAGGAATTCCTTGGAGAAGGAGGGGATGTTTGAATTTGAGTAGACATCCACGGGAAGTTTGAATACGTAAAATACTTTGGGTATCTAAAATCTTTTAGATATCTTTTAGAATCTTTTTAGCTGGATAATAGGAAAAATAGAACAGATATTAAAATGATGGTGGATATATGTGTTTCCTATTAATTTAACTGTACTTCTTTACCTGCAAATGCATTACTTTCTGAATCTTATGATTTTTTGGTTTGTGGGTGATTTCATGGGGTCAGCAGGTGTAGAACCCAGCTTCCCATTGCAGTGGTTATAGAACATTCTGCTGAGGCACAGGCAGTAGCATTGACCCAGAGATGCCTTCATATAAAGTGGAGCCCTGGAGAGATGGCCTGATGTTTGAAGGATTCCCACAAGTTCATAAACGTATGATTGCAAATACAGCTCTTTTATAGTAACACTGACTTGAGTGCAAAAATTTTGTGGGAGGAACTAAGCTCTCGAATTCAGTTTTCAGGGCAGAGTTGGTCATTTTGATTGGACAAACTGATGGAATCAAATTAATGCTCTGAATATGAATATATCAAAGCATCTTTCAAAGAAATAAATACAATCAATGCCTTTATGACAGTGCAAATGTAGCTAAGCAGACTTTAGATGAGGTGTCTTAGATGTTTATAGTACTGTATTCACAGAAATATGGCTTATCAGAAACTAATATGAACATAAGCTGTGATTTCCCCCTCACCCCCCTCCCCCCACCCCCCCCAAAAAAAAAAAAAAAAAAAAAAAAAGGAAAAATGAAGAAGTAGGCTTTCTGAGGATTGTGCAGTAAGAGAGTAAGATTTTGAGGGACTGGCAGCATTCAGTTTTCCAGGCATGCTACTGCCATGTGTTGCTACAGGAAAGAGCCTGGCTTGGTTCCCAGGCCTGCAGCTCAGTTGTTGAATGGACAGCATCAGGAAACACCACAGAGGTATGAGCATATCTCCTAAGTAGAAGAGACTTGGACACAGGACAGGCTCTGGGTGTGCCTAAGCTTAGCACATATGCAGGGTGAATGGTTGCAGAAGGAACTTTGAAATATGTAGTTCAGGTTTTTGCTCAAGTATTCTCAACCTGTGAACTGTGTCCTCAAGTAGTCTAAGAAACAGCCATTATTCCATCTGTGAACTGTGCAATATTATAGGCTTAGACTTCAGACTTGGTTTAACTCACCTTGCAACATAAGCACCAGTAGTTCATTATGATAACCCTGTTCTGGATGGTAATGCATTAGTGGAGGTGTCTGCACAAATAAACAATGAAGAGTAGTGAGCAGAAAAAGTCTCACATGGTACCATGTGCACCCACAGTGTCATACTGCCTGCCTCAATTAGTACCCTTTCAGTATCTGACAGTGAGTGATAGCATTATTGCAATGGTATTTACCAGCACTGCTTGAGTATGGGATCTGTCATTTTTTCTGTTCTGAATTTTTGTGCATGGCTGTAAAAAGTGCCCAAGGCTGAAATGTGTTTCAGAGGTTGTCAGGGAGGAAAGAATTTTTTTTTTTTTTTTTCCACTAATTTTTTAGGAAATTTTGCAAATCAGTTTGAAGTTGGAGAAGTTCCAAACCTAAATGCACGTTTTTATGGATTCAAATGGGTAATGTGGTTCCTGGTGGGTCCAAGTTTCTCATAGTCTCTTGCAGGAAATTACACAACTCTCTTTTGTTTTCCTTTATATATTTTTTTTTTAGGCTAGAGAAAGGAGGTTTCAAAATGGCCATTTGATAATCCCCTGGAAGAATAACCTTTGCAGCACTCCTATTTTATAACATAAGAACTATGAAAACCTGTACTTGGATGGATTATAACAGAATCCTGTCTATTGACTTAGAGTTTATGATTAAGTCGCTAATCTGGCTTCCAGCTTCACTTGTATTTGTTTGGAATGACAGGAGTGCCTTTCAGTGATCATCGCAGATTTCTCTTTTCACCAGCTTTTCCTCAGAGGTAATTGCAGCTGTACACAAGCCATTCAGTCTCCAGGAGAGGACAAAATTTATTTTAATGTCCATGAGTGCACGGTTACCTCAGAGGTGAAGGTATTGTTGTGGAATAATAGGAAATGCTCCCTCTGCTTAGATGAAACAGTGTCTGACAAGATTAGGAAGAAGAGATCTTGCTGATTTTTTTTATTTTTTAACTTTTATTTTTAATGAACAAACTATAGTTCAGTTTGTCTAAATGAAAGTTGTTCTAAGTTTGAAATCAAAAGACAAAAACTATATGTTTCTAAAATGTCAGGTAGGCTTTTACACACTAATCCACTGATTTACATGCAAAAGTGATTTATAATTTTAGTTATACATCTAGTTCAGTTGTCCGCTATGGTGGTTACATAGAGGAGTAATTTCTTAGGAATAAAGTCACT